CGCGCTTCCTTCCGCCCCGCGCTCCAAATGCCTCGGCGCTCGACCTCTGCCGCACCCGCGCCGCTCTCTCTCTCACCCTTTTAGTAGCAACCGGGTTTCACTGTGTACGCCAGGAATGAAGTATCGATCTCCCTGCACCCCGCTCGTGATCCCCCACCTCGGCTCCCAAAGTGCTGGGATTCACAGGTGTGAGTCAACGTGCCTGGACACTTTTCTTTTTTTTTTGAGACAATTTTGGCTGTTCTTAGCGCACAGGGCTGGAGTGCAAAAGCTGGCGGGCGATCATCGGCGGCTCACTCGCAACGCTCCTGTCTGCGCCGCATTCATGCGATTCTCCTGTCTCGAGCTTCGAGTAGCTGGGGATTTCACGGGCCATGCACACCCCACATGCCCAAACCTAAGTTTCGTATTCGTGTCGAGTTCCCACGGATGGCGGCGTTTCCTCCACCATTGGTCAGCGTTGGCCTCTGAACCTGCCGACCCTCCAGGTGCATCACACCTGCCTCCACGGCTTTTAATGTTAAAAAACACTCGGAACACCCAGACAACTTGAAGGATACGCCCTAAAACACAATCGAAGGCACACATCACATAGCCATAGGTGAGCATACTCCAGTGGTGGAAAGCAAAACGCTTCTCCTCTGAGGTAATGGACCAGGCAGACGATGCTTTACCCGCTTTCTATTCCACACAACCACCAAGCGGAAGCTCTGGGCCAGAGGCAATGTAGACAAGAAAAACAGAAAAGTCCATCCAATACTGAAAAAGGGGACAGGTAAAATCACCCTGTTCTCAGATGACATAATCTGTAATTGTAGAATAATCCTAGATTCCATATTCCGGAAGAAAAAATGCCGTGACATCACAAAACTACAGGCTACAAAAATCAACAGCAAAAGAAAGCTGCAGTTCTCGGCATCCAACAGTGACTATGTGAAGCGGGCGCAAATTATGAACCGTTTCCACATTATAGCAATAGCAGCGCGGCAAGATAAAATAGCTGGAAATGTCACTTAATCAAAAGAAGGTGAAAGACTTCGTAGCAATGAAAACTGGCGGCCCACGCAGTGCCCACCGCTGACCCAGCCTTTGGGGAGCGCTGAAGCAGATGATTGGGCCCGTCATGCAGGAGTTAAAGACGCAGGCCTCCAGCCAAACATTGGTGAATCATCCGTATACAAACCTACAAAAATACAGAAAATTAGGCCAGGCTGGTGGGTGGGCATACTGTAATCGCCCAGGGCACTTTGGGAGGCTGAGTGCTGCGGATTGGGCGAGGTCAGGGTTCGAGACCAAGACCTGGCCAACCATGGCGAAACCTGTCTCTGGCTAAAGAGTACAAAAATTGAGCCGGCGCGTGGTAGGTGGCGTGGCTGGAATCGCAGCTACTCAGCAAGGCTGCAGTCAGGAGACATCACTTTTACCCGCGGGAGGGGAACCGTTGCAGTGAGCTGAGATCACAACACTCGCAGCTCTGCGTCTCGAAACCAAGAGAAACAGCCACAGACATCACTTACGGGCTGAGAGACATCAGACAGCAACATAGAGACCTGAAACGCCGGGTCCTGTAAAAGCCCCAATCTCTGTTTTTTACAAAAATAGGGGAAACACTCCTAAATTCATCCATGGGAATCTCAAAGGGGGGATCCTTGGCGGGATAGTCCACACGGCTGGCCGGGAAAATGTCACCCTGGGCACACCCATTCAAATGCCAGCAGAACGAATTCAGCAGTATAGTTAAAGGACTCTATACCCTAACCAAGCAGGATTTATTCCTGGAATGCAACGATAGTTCAACATATGAAAATCAATGTTCCGCATATGAAATGTTCAACATACAAAAATCAATCGATATTAGCAGAGTGGAGGAAGGAAACCACAAGACTGTCTCAAGTGTTGCAGGAAAAGTATTCGACCAAATAAAACACCTTTTTTTTTTTTGAGATGGGGCCTCGCTCTGTAGCCCAGGCATCTCGGCTCACTGCATGCTCCGCCTCCTGGGTTCACGCCATTCTTTTGCCCCAGCCTCCCAAATGGCTGGGACTACAGGCACCTGCCACCATGCCCGGCTAATTTTTTATATTTTTAGTAGAAACAGGGTTTCCACCTGTGTTCAGCCAGGAATGGTATCCGATCTTCCTGACTCGTGATCCACCCCACCTTGGCCCTTCCCAACAGTGCTGGGATTCACAGGTGTGAGTCACCGGCCTGGCCACTTCTTCTTTTTTTTCTGAGACAACTTTGCTTTCTTGCCCAGGCTGGGAGTCTAGCCAAGGCCGATCGTCGGCTCACGCAACCTCTGTCTGCCCGCCACTTCATGCGATCCCTGCTCAGCTTCGCCGCGAGCGTAGCTCGGGTCATTACGGGGCATGCACCACCATGCCGCAATAAGTTTGTATTTGTGAGGTTAGGGATGGGGTTCCTCCACATTGGCTCAGGTTGCCTTCGAACTGCCGACTCAGGTGATCGCACCTGCCCTCACGCCTCTTTTGCTCAATAAAACACTCAGAAAACAAGAATTGAAGGATACGCCCTAAAACACAATGGCAAGGCGCACACATCACAAGCCCATACGGTGACAACTCACGTGGCTGGGAAACACAAAGCCTTCTCCTCTGAGGTAAGGAACCAGGCACGAATGCTTTACCGCTGTCTATTCCACACACCACCGGAAAGCTCTGGCCGAGAGCAATTAGACAAGAAAAAGAAAGAGTCATCCAAACCTGAAAAGGGACAGGTAAGCAATCACGCTTCTCGAGATGACATAATCTTAATATGTAGAAAATCCGTAGAATCCATAATGAAGAAAAAATGCCCGTGACATCAACAAACTTACCGGATACAAAATCAACAGCAAAGAAAGCTGCAGTTCTCCATCCAACAGTGAAAATGGAAGCGGGGGAATTATGAAACCGTTTCCATTTACAATAGAGCGCGCAAGATAAAATGCCTGGAAATCACTTAACCAAGAAGGTGAAAGACTTGTACAAGTGAAAAACGGCCGGACGCGTGCCCACGCTGAATCCCAGCCCTTTGGGAGGCTGAGGCAGATGGATTAACCTCATGTCAGGAGTTCAAGACCAGCCTCGCCAACATGGTGAATCATCGTTTCTACTAAAAATACAAAAATTAGCCAGGCATGGTGGTGCATGCCTGTAATCCCAGCACTTTGGGAGGCTGAGGTGGGTGGATTGCCTGAGGTCAGAGGTTCGAGACCAGCCTGGCCAACATGGCGAAACCCTGTCTCTGCTAAAAGTACAAAAATTAGCCGGGCGTGGTGGTGCGTGCCTGGAATCCCAGCTACTCAGGTGGCTGAGTCAGGAGAATCACTTTACCCCGGGAGGGGAACGTTGCAGTGAGCTGAGATCACAACACTGCACTCTGTCTCGAAAACAAGAGAAAACCACAGAATATAGCTGAGAGACATCAAAGCAACATAGAGACTAAACGCGGTCCCTGTAAAAGCCCCAATTATGTTTTACAAAAATAGGAAAACCACTCCTAAAATGCATATGGAATCTCAAAGGATCCTGGATAGTCCAGGCTGGAATTCACTGGCACCATCTCAGCTCACTGCAACCTCCACCTCCACCTCCCGGGTTCAAGCGATTCTCCTGCCTCAGCCTCCTGAGTAGCTGAGAATACAGGCATGCGCCACCACCGTGCCCGGCCAATTCTTGTATTTTTAGTAGAGGTGGGGCTCGACATGTTGGCCAGGCTGGTCTCGAACTCCTGGCCTCAAGTGATCCTCTCCCCTTGGCCTCCCAGCATGCTGGGATTACAGGCCTGAGCCACCATGCCCGGCTCAAATTATTCTTATTTTTAAAGACAGGGTCTCGCTCTGTAACCCGGGCTGGAGTGCAGTGGCACAATCACAGCTCACTGTAGCCTCTGGCTCCTGGACTCAAGTGATCCTCCCACCTCTGCCTCCCAAAGCAGCTGGCATTACAGGCGTGCACCATTAGGGCCGGCTAATATTTTTATTTTTTGTAGAGATGGAGTCTCCCCTTGCTTTCCAGGCTGGTCCTGAACTCCTGGCTTCAAATAATCTGGCTGACTTGACCTCCTCAAATGCTAGGAATACAAACGTCAGCCACCACCACGCCCGGCCTCTGCTTGCTTAGTTGTGGAAACAGACCTGGTCTCAAGTGGGGACGGCCTGGAACACAGACCTCAGCTGACCCACAAGGATGGGGTTTGAGATCTGGGGCTCTTTGTCACAGCGGCATAACTGACTAATACAGCCCCTATAGGCCCCAGCTCCAACGTTCAAATCAAGGTAACTGGCTACTTCATGCACCTGTCACACACCAAAGCGCTGCTAGGTGAAGTGACCAGGTTGTCACACAGACTCTGCAGATCCCAGAGGCAGCAATGCCTGTGCATGGCCTTGGTGCCTTCGGCCCCACAGACCTGGTTTTGCTTTTCCAGCAACCCCCAAAGATCAAAGCTTTCCGGATGGCCACGCCCACACTGCTCTGAGTCCCGGCTCCCCGTCCCTGCAGCAGCCACGGAGCTGCAGGAGGGGTCCTCCAAGGAGCAGCTGGCTGTGGGACAATCAGAGGTCACTCCTGCCCATGTGTCTGAGCCCGTCAAGCAGGACCAAGGCAACGGACTTGGTCCGGGAAACACAACATCCCTCCAGCCCCAGCACCAAACTCAGGCGGGGCTGTCCCGATGACCATTCACACCAGGGGTGCCCGTCTGCCAAGGTGAGCATCGAAAGCCTCCCGCCCCACCTGGCAGAGCCGGATACTAGGATGCCGGACGCTGACCTGTGACCGTCAGCCACGGACATGCCCCACCCTTCCGAGGGCAGGAGCAGGAGCGCGCCAGTGTGTAGAGTGGCCTGACTGGGGCGAGTGCCCCGTGTCACGTCTGTGCGCCGAAAACCCCTCAACAGGAGCTGCTGTGTAACACTGGTGCTGGGACAGGCGCAACCAGGCATCTCCACAACAGTTGGGCTCCCGTCTGGGTGGGTGATCCGGAGCCCGACTCACCTGCCAGGACTGAACCAGCTGTGCGATCTCCCGGCCCGACATGTGGTCCGTCAGATGAGCGATCTCCTCGCACTTCCTCCCATAGTCAAACTGGGCCAGCTTCAGGCGCCTGGGGAAGGAGTTCCCAA